GGGGTCTAAATTTGTTTGGATTTGATTAACCGTTTGGGAATATTTCACCAAAAATGAACTATGTGCTGCAAAGGATGCGTAAAATCTGACTTGAATCTTAGTGCAGACTTCTGGGAAAGCAGCAAGCCAATCACACATGCAGAAAATTACATTTCTGAGGGGCATTCTGTACACCAACTCTCTGGAACGTCTCTAGGTCGCCATATTTTATTGAATTTTAGAGAAATTTACATGCTGCAGATTGAAAAGGAAAGATAATTTGTAATAACATTAAATAACAATATGGCTTGTGTAGCAACTCTATATTCTATACAGTATATATATTTTTAATTTGCTGTTTTTTTCCCAAGGAAAGTGGCATTGCCCTTTAAGGTATAAGCACCCATTGCCTTTATGCTTTTGTTTACCCTGTTTGCTCATTTTATAGCAATGTTTTATATCTGTTCTTTATTTCCATCACCCCTTTTCGCTGCTCTGGCATTTTGTTTTCCTTTTATTTTATCTTTTCTTTATCATCTGATTGATTTCTTCTGCCTCCACCATTATTCTTCTTTGATACCATGGTGATGGTGTGTCGACTCAAGATGGTCTTACATGGGCAGATTGGCTCATACTGAAACGTCTGCATCTAGGTTGTAGGATCTACTGCTGGTTTGTCCATCCTTTGTGATATCTGTATCTGACAGATATGGTCATTCTGTGGGTATGTTAAATGTTGTTATCATACTGGAAACAACAGCAGTGATTGTTCAGAAATGAACAATAATACATACAATGAGAAAATTGGAAAAAAAATAACGCTTTCGAAGAGATCATCTGATAACCCCATCATTAGTACACGGCTTTAGGGAGCCGATCAGGATATTTCATGCGAAATTATCCAAAGGGACAAGCATGAAAAATTTTCATGTGTGATGATGACAGAACGATTTTTGTTTAATTAGTAGAGTATTTGTCCATAAAAATTGAGGGACCAAGACCGCCCATGCTCATAAATGAAAGAACACATTACAATACAATATAATACATTGCATTACTTCCAAAGTTGTATACTCTCTTTCGAGAATTTTCATAACTTTAGTAACCTCTTCATATTTGATATGAGACTAGCATGCAAAGAAAAATGGCCGTTTTTTCGTCCGATATTCTCATCATGTGTATGAGGTTTAAGGAACCATGGTTAAACCATAAATAGTTTGTTCTACCATCTTAGCTGTTTGATATGTGGGTTTCAATTCATTAAAGGATACCACATGCGATATGAAGGTCATGTGACCCTGTCAAGAGAACCGGAGAGCGCACAGAGGCAGATTGCACAGAACCCAACATGCTTTTATTGGGGGGGGGGGGGGGGGGGGGGGTTTGGGGCTCAGACAACAGTTCCTTTAATCCACAGATCCACACCAGACACAGCAACACAGTACAGTTTCTCTGGAAGGCAATATGGAACAACAGGGGTATTTTAATCCACAGGGTTAGTCCACACAGGAGGCTCCAGGCAGGGATGGGTTAAGTCCAGGCAGGTTCACGGAGAACAAGGGGTTAAGTCCAGGCAGGGTTCACAGAGCACAAGGGGTTAAGTCCAGGCAGGGGATAGATCCAGGCAGATTCACGGGGACAGCAGAAGATTCCTCCACAGTGCAGGGATTCCAGGCAGCACAGACAGTCCGGGAGATGATGAGGAGGACGGGGGATGGTCGGGGAATAGTCAGATGAGAGAAGCTGGAACTCCGCACAGCCTTCCCTCACATACGCAGCCAGGAGAACACACGGGGGTTTTCCTTGCTCTCTCAAGTATAGAGCTATGTGCCTTGTTGGTAACCGGAGATTTCTTGTCGGGTTACCATGGCAAGGGGCCCTGTCTCCCAGGTCTCCATACCTGCCCAGGGAGCTCAGGAATTTGTGCACGAGGGGGAAGGGAGGAGGAGGGGGCATGTTTATGGATTCCTTCAGCAGGAGGTCAGACTGCAAGCCAGGGGGGTGAAGGGCTGCTGAGGGCTGCCTGTGTCAGGGACACGGAGGACTAGAAGTCCCAGCATGGACAGGACAGACGAGTGAGGGGCTGCTGAGGGGTGGGAGGTGGCAGCCAGCAAAACTGGAGGATGGGGAAGGAAGGACCAGCTCCGTGACAGACCCATTTTTCAGAAATATTGCATGAGATAATAAGAGTCAATTCATCAAAGTAAAATATCAGATGTGAGAAATCATTAAACTCAATTCACTAAAGAACACACACATTCATTATCACCTGACAGTAGGCAGTCAATAGTTCAATGTACAATGTACAAAATAACAATGAGGGTAACTCTGCACTGGCCAGTAAAAAAAAGCATACAATGTATTAGTGTGGAAATGTTCTTTCCTGAGCTCAGGAATGAAAATAAATTGTAACATTTCATGAGGGAGATCATTCTGTGAATGAAAGCACACTAGAATGTTTTCAAAGTTATATTTCTGTGTGTATTTATTTCTTTCTCTGGTGCAGTGATAGCATGTAAAAAAAAATTGTGAAAAAAACAACACCAAAAATAACACTAAATTTAAGTGATAAATATAGCAAAACATAAATATATAATGCATTCCCTAAATAATGCATTTTTGCTACTTTTGAGATAAATACCGTATGAGATATTTCAGTGTTTTTCAACCTTTTTTGTGCAAAGGCACACTTTTTTCATGAAAAAAATCACGAGGCACACCACCATTAGAAAATGTTAAAAAAATTTACCTCTGTGCCTATATTGACTATATATAAAGTAATTCTCTTGAATAGGAATCAAACACAAAGAAATTATTTTATAATTACTTTATTATGAAATAATAAAGTATTTTATAATTGGACCCGGGGGCCGGACCAAGAGTAGATGAATGATGTGTATGTGTCATCCATAGTAAGTATAGTAATATTCCCCCATAGTAAGCATAGTAATTCATCCCCCATATAGTAATTCATCCCCCATAGTAATTCATCCCCCATATAGTAATTCATCCCCCATAGTAATTCATCCCCCATATAGTAATTCATCCCCCATAGTAATTCATCCCCCATAGTAATTAATCCCCCATATAGTAATTCATCCCCCATAGTAATTCATCCCCCATATAGTAATTCATCCCCCATAGTAATTCATCCCCCATAGTAATTAATCCCCCATATAGTAATTCATCCCCCATAGTAATTCATCCCCCATAGTAATTAATCCCCCATATAGTAATTCATCCCCCATAGTAATTAATCCCCCATATAGTAATTCATCCCCCATAGTAATTCATCCCCCATATAGTAATTCATCCCCCATAGTAATTCATCCCCCATAGTAATTCATCCCCCATATAGTAATTAATCCCCCATAGTAATTCATCCCCCATATAGTAATTCATCCCCCATAGTAATTCATCCCCCATAGTAATTCACCCCCCATATAGTAATTCATCCCCCCTATAGTAATTCATCCCCCATATAGTAATTCATCCCCCATAGTAATTCATCCCCCCTATAGTAATTAATCCCCCATACAGTAATTCATCCCCCATAGTAATTCATCCCCCATATAGTAATTCATCCCCATAGTAATTCATCCCCCCTATAGTAATTCATCCCCCATAGTAATTCATCCCCCATAGTAATTCATCCCCCATATAGTAATTCATCCCCCATAGTAATTCATCCCCCATAGTAATTCATCCCCCATATTAATTCATCCCCCATATTAAGTCCCCAAGCCCCCCCTGTGTCAATTCACTTACCTTTGCTCCGCGCGTTCCTCTCGCCGTTCCGGTGTAGCATGAAAATCTGTCTCCTATGAGGATCTGTCCCCCTCGACGTATCTGCGCATGTGCCAGTTTCAGGCATTAGCAGCCGATCGGCGATCTCCGGCACATGCGCAGATACGTCGAGGGGGACAGATCATCCTGACAGTATCACGCTCCGCGGGCCGTAGTTTGCCCATTGCTGTTCTAATGATTGGTCTATTTGTGAGCCGAGGCCACATGTTACGGATGAAATTGCAATTTTTCCCACGGCACACCAGACAATATCTCACGACACACTAGTGTGCCGCGGCACAGTGGTTGAAAAACGCTGAGATATTTTACTCAAAAATTCATCCAGTATTTATCGCTTAGTTGAATTGACACCATGATTAGGTATCTAATCGCCTTGAATATCAAATGCAACCTATTTATCGGCCAACTACTAGCATATCTTCCATGTAAGACCTTCAGTTCTGCACTTCCTTGTCTTTTAGCCCTTTGTACGTCCCTTGTGTTGTATAGGGAAGATTCCAAGAAAATTAGAAAGATACCCTTTCAGAAAAGGTCGCAGATATAAACTATGTAGCTTATACACAACTTACCAGCGCACAACCAATGAACAAAAACCCTACTCGTCTATCCCCAGAGGGGAGCCATAGTTATTTCTTCATTGGATACTTCCATATTACCTCTTGTACAGCATAGAGAAATTAAAGCCAGACTTCCAATCACAGCCCACACTTTAAATACACTTTAGCTCCTGTAAAAGTTGTGTGTCTCAACACTTTACATGTCAGTGGCTTTTAACAAAAGTTGAAGCGCGGGTTGCTTTCTCTACTTTGCTTACACTATGCATATTCAAGGAGACAAGGACTAAAGCAGTGTAACTTTGAAAGATCGGGAGTCATGATAAAGTATAATTGCAAACACGTAAGTACAAAAAATGCATTAGAATATTTTGGTCTGAATAAATATCTTTCACAAATGTATTAGTGAAGTGATAGACACTAGGAAACCTCTGTTTGACTTTACTGATATGCTAATTCAGGTTTTTAGATAGATGTCTGCTGAGACGATGCTAGGAATCACATCAAAGTGATCGAACAGCGACGTAACTCCTGATCCAGCAGTTGGTACCCACCACTCTATAGCATGCAGTATTTTTAATTAAAGCATAAAGTTTTAATGGATGATTTGTTATTCTGTTAAGTAGTCTGTCGTTAACTGTCATGTTTCCTCTCAAACAGCGTGTAACAGCCAATGTTTAAGTTGCAATGCAGCAGAGGGATGTTCTACATGTAAAGACCCAAATAAAGTTTTGCTGTTTGGAGAATGCCAGTATGAAAGCTGCACACAGCAGTATTATCTTGACTACAGTACCGGATCATGCAAAGGTAAAATTAGTATATTAAAGTCTTTTGAAAATATACTTGAGACTGCAATGCACTGATCACTGATTGTTTCTGCTGTCTTGCTTAAAGTATAACTATATAAAAACTTTTTTTTTGAAGAGGGATTATAACTCACCAGTTTTTATTGCTGTCTGTGCCCCTGTTAGTGAGATTTACCCTCTCTATTTGTCCTGTTTACCATTCTCATCAAAAGTGAAAATAAAATAAAATCCCACAGTTTGAGTTGACACCCTAACACTAAAAGAGGGGAAATCTCCCAATCGGGACACTAGTTCTGGTGACCCTGGTGACATCCCTGGATTCCCACACTTTAGAGGCATTTCCACTCACTTCTTCTTTTGTCAGGGCAGGAAGGGAAATCTCTTCTATGGGACACAGACAGGGAAATAAAAAGATATGGGTATAGGCCCCCACCATAAGGCCCCTTTTAGACGGGGTGGATCTATCAGAGTAAGATAACAATAAAAATGAGCGCTCTATACATAAAAGCCGCTGAACATTCGAGGAAACCAGATAAAGCCTTGTGCAAATAATGTAAACAATAATATGCAGCGCTGATAGTCAATGAAAGATGCCTGATAAGTAACGCAGTAAATAATGGTGAGTATCAATCAGTCAGTGACAAATAAAGTTGGTAGTGAAAACACATTAAATTCCAGTCCTGTGATGGTGCTCCGCGTGCATATGATACAAATGCGCACTAACCAGAAACGTATTTGAAATATGCAATGGATATAAATCTCATGAAAATCCCTCTTCTCTCTGGTCAAGGACTGGACTGGAACTTATGGTGAAGTACTGAGATCTATCAGAGTGATCTCTCCGCTGATCCCCGCTGAGCAGGCGGATAACAGGTGTCTGTCCACTAATTTCAATGGGACGGTCTTTTTCATCTATTGTCTGCTGACACCCGCCGGTCCAAAGAAGTCTATGGATGGACCAATTGGGTCTGCCTGAAAAAACGGAAAGCCGAACCCCATCGGTCCGCTAGTATGAAAGGGGCCTTAAAAAAATTTGACTTTAGTTCTACTTTAATAGCTGAAATTTGTGAAAAGTAATTTTGTTTACCCTCAGAAGAACAGCTGCCTTACCTGTTCAAATAATTTTATAACTAATCCATATGATACATTTAGGAAGGCATAACAAAAGCCAGATTTTATCATAAAGCAACAGTAGTTACTAGTTGAGCTCAAATTAAGGTAACCGATAGTTAGGCATGGGCTGACAAACATATGCCAAAAGTAATTTTGTGTTTGTGAGGTTTTTTTTGACCGTCATGAGTCTTTGAGAACTGCTTAGTCACAGTCACCTGCCTTTTCAATAATAGTAAAATTGACAAGCGTATATACACTTTCCAAACCTAAGCTGTAATTCTTTAATGAATAGGCTTTGGTGATTATACATGAGAATTATTGTGTAGGCGAAGTTGTCAAAGCCTCATAATATAGTTAAATGTTGGATGGAAAGCATTACAGCTTAGTTTATAGATTTTGTTAAGAATTTCTGAAACTAGCCTATGATATTTTCCAGATAAAATTACTTCAGGTAGAAATAACTCAGTAAACAAATCATTCAAATCATTTTGAATTCTATATTTCCATGTTTTTTTAATACCAGTACCTGTATCAGGCTGTGAAACCAGAGGCCTAAAGAAAAGGTGGACAGGTTCAATTTATAGTGTATCTAAATCCCAAAACAGAAATATAATATACTGAAGCTAACCAGGCATTTCTTCCTTTATTTTCACCCAGCAATCCTGCTAGTAACACCCTTTCGGTCTTAGGGTGAGAATATTCACTCACTGTGAGTGCTACTGGAATAGCAGCATTGTCAAACTTGGACAGCACTAAAGTATACCTCCCCATTTCCTCTTCTCCATAATATTGGAGGAGGTGTTTTGTAGTCCACGGAGATAACTGACAACAGTGTAATTGAACAGAATGCAGCATAGACAGAATTAACAGGAAGTTATCAGCGCAAAAGATTTAGTTTTTAGCTAGACATACAGGCATTGTTGCACTTCTTAACCGCTTCCTGACCGCCCTATAGCAGATATACTGCTACAGGGCGGCACGGGTGTGCAAAATCACGTATATATACGTGATTTTGCATTTCTGGGTAGGGGGCGCTGGCGCCCTACTTGCGCCGCCATTCGCAGCTGAGGCTGTCAATCACCGGGTCTCGCTGGCACCCGGTGTTTGCCTAGCATCTCCGACGGGGAGGAGAACTGTTTGTAAACAATACAGTTCTCCTCCCTGTCACTCATGCACATTGCTTTGGATGACTGTGACCTATTAGTTGTTTCCCTCAGAGAAGACTCAGCCAGTGGTGAATGCATGTGCCATAAACAAGAGAATGTTGTCTAGTCCAGCTTAAACTGATTATTTTGCTGCTGTCAGAGGGGGGGTGGTGGAAATCAGAATAATTAGAAAACCTTGTATAATTACTATTTTCCTTGAGTTAGGCCAGCACAAGTGTTTGCTGCCTGTTTTTCCACCTCCCAGACAATTTAAATGTAATTATTCTAAAAATTGCAGTATCTCTTGTAACAATCAAGCTGTGTAGGATGTGCTAATGAGCATTTTTTTGGAAAGTTTCTGTGACCAATCCACATTTATTACTCCCTTTTTTTCAAATAAAGGAGCAAATATGTCACCATGCATGCACTGAATTTTGAAGTCATGAACCAGGAAAGCTTTGTCTTTGTCCAGGTAGATGAATTGAGAAAAGGTTTTTTTTTTTTTTAAATATATATTTTTTATGACAATATTTTAGAAAATCCTGCAAAGTAACCTATTACTTTTTAATAACAGGATTTGCTTCCATACAGAAAGTTTTGGTAAAATGTCAATGTAATTAAAGTAAGTCTACTGTACTGTAGTAGTAATCATCAAACGTCTTCAACTTTTGCATGCATACCAACTATGTGCTTGACCTTCATTTACCATTTGGCTTATTCACATATCACTTGCAATAATTAGCTAGTGTATTGAAGATCAAACCTAAACATTTCAATTTGTGATGTTCTGGTCAGATAAGTTCCAGTCTGACATATGCTGGAAATGCTACTCTGAAAAATCTGGGTTTGGTCTGGCAAAAAAATCAATCTGCAAACCTTTATAAAAGTCCACTGTTTGCATGCAACCACTCATCTGAATCATACAGCAGCTCTATTACGTGTATTGCAGGTCAGTTGCATCTCGACCCATTGATCTCAATGGGTCAGTTTGACAGGCAGTGCCTCTTGTCAAACTCTGCAGTCGGGAGCAGCTCTGGCATGTGAACAGCTCTGTCAGGCTGTAATGTTAGGATTTGGGTGGGTGGGAAATTATTAATATCACAGCTCAGTGATGGACCTAACAATTAAATAAAGGTCAAACAAGCTTTTTGCACTGTTGGGAACATTGCTCAAAAAATAAAATGTATAACAGCATGGTTCTTCTCTGCTTTAATATAAATTGATTTAAAAAAATAAATAACACCACTCACATTTTTCTGTGTACTCCACATGGTTACAGTAAACAAGGCTCAAGTAATATAAATCTTTAATAAATCTGGTGAGTGCTGTATTGTGGCTAGACAAGGACTTTAAAGATTGTTACCTTCTCCTGTTTTATGTTCTACTAGGTACTAATTAGTAACGTGTATGTCTGCAAGGGGATTCAGTCAAAGATTGCCTTCTGGAGCAAAACTCCAGTTTGTGAGTACTGAGATTCAGTCATGTCAAGTTAGTAGGTATGTTCACTACCTGAGGAGCCCAATGATATTGGAGAGGCATGGCCAGACTCAACTTTTACAGGCAAAGTTGAGATTCACTTATACATTTACCAGATTGTATTCTTAGATTTACTGATAGTTTTCACACAAGGATTTTATTGAAGAGGCAATCTGATTACGATTAAAAAAGATAATCAAAAGATTACATGCTCAGTTTGAATTGCCTGGGATTATTTTTAACACTGACAAAATGGTTAACTCTTACATAGTGAGATTTTAGTTGCAGGAGGCTTGCACACCATGTGTCTACTTAGTGGCATTTGCAGAGCGTTAGTAATCTGCTAAGGCAAATTGAAGGTCTTTATTGAATATGATTGCAGTTTTTTCCTATGTGACTCTACAAAGGAAATGAAAAAAACATGCAGTGTTAAGAGGACTACACAAACTGAAGTTGAACAACACTGGATTCAATACAAGTTTACTTTTAAACATGTAAAAAAACTGTAATTTTCCCCCCAAAAATTCCTCAGAAATGTCCATGGTTCTTTTTAAGTATAATTTAGTTTTACCTGTTATATATCAAATATGTGTCTTAGATTTGAAATACACAATAAACAACCTATATAGTCTGTACAAATCCGGCTTTTGGCCTATAGTTTTTACAGTACCTGTTATATATGCAGCAATACATCTTCTAGACTGTGAATCTAAGTTTTCATACTGTACATATACAATATATACAGCAGGCCTCAAAATTTCCACTCGCCTGCTTGCATTGGCGAGTGGAAATAAGGTGGGGGCGAGTGTGTCTCCCAGGGCGGTCTTGCTGAGCAGGCTGGGAACTCAGGGCCGGCTCAGTCACTCGCACTGGGAGTCGTCAGACTGCTCAATAGTTGAGCAAAGTGAAAGCAAAGGAAGTACTGCAACATTTTATAGGGCTGTATATATGTGTGTGTATGTGTGTGTATGTACATGTGTCTGTGTGCATGTACATGTGTTTGTGTGTATGTATCTGTGCGTATGTACATGTGTATGTGTGTGTATGTACATGTATCTGTGTGTATGTATCTGTGTGTTTATGTACAGTACATGTTCCTGTGTGTAAGTACATGTATCTGTGTGTATGTATCTGTGTGTGTATGTACAGTACATTTGCCTGTGTGTATGTACATGTGGGTGTGTATGTATCTGTGTGTGTCTATGTACATGTGTATGTATCTGTGTGTGTATATACATGTGTCTGTGTGTATGTATCTGTGTGTGTG